GGATTCTGGCCGATCTGTCTTCTCAACGTAAGCTTTAAGATTTTCACCAAGGTTGGCACGAATAGGTTGACGCGGATAGCCCATTTGGTAGTTCAACCAACCCAAACTGCTTTCATGCTAGGGCGACACATCCTAGAAGGGGCTGTTGTCCTACATGAAGCTCTCAATGAAATCCATACAAAGAAACTAGATGGTGTTATCTTCAAAGTGGATTTTAAGAAAGCGTATGATAAGGTCAAATGGCCCATCCTCCAGCAAGCCTTACGTATGAAGGGGTTCAATGAGTCTTGGAGGTCTCAGGTGGACTCATTCATACAGAAAGGCAGTATTGGGATAAAAGTAAATGATGACATAGGGCATTATTTCTAGACACATAAGGGGTTAAGAGAGGGGGACTCCATGTCTCCCATGCTGTTCAACATAGTAGCGGATATGTTAGCAGTCCTTATTGGTCGGGTTAAAGAGATTGGCCAAGTAGGAGGTTTTGCCCCCCACCTTGTAGAGGGGGGAGTCTCCATTCTACAATATGCGGATGACACTATTATTTTCATGGAACACGATCTCGCGAAAGCTCGGAATATGATGTTTGTGTTATGCCTATTTGAGCAATTGTCTGGACTACAAATCAACTTTAACAAAAGTGAATTGTTCTACTTTGGGAGAGCGAAAGAGGAACAAGATGATTACAGAAAATTGTTCGGATGTGAAATGAGATCCTTGCCATTTAGTTATCTAGGGATCCCAATTCATTATAGGCGATTAACGAACAAGGAGTGGAAATGTATAGAAGATAGATCTGAAAAAAGACTAAGCTGCTGGAAGGGCAAGCTAATGTCTTACGGAGATCGGCTGGTTTTGATAAATTCGGTTTTGACGAGCTTGCCGATGTTTCTTTTATCTTTCTTTGAAGTGTTGGTGGGGGTACGAAAAAGACTAGACTTCTATCGATCCCGTTTTATTTTGGCACTGTGATGAGGCTAAGAAGAAATGCAGATTGGCTAGATGGGATATTATTTGCAGACCAAAGGACCAAGGTGGGTTAGGGATCAAGAATTTAGAAGTAAAGAATAGATGCTTGCTTAAGCTATGCCGAATCTAATACTATTGTGCAACGTAAGAAGGATTATGTCGCCATAGTATTAAATTTGGCATAGCTTAATATCCAATTTAGGAGATCTCTAGTGGGGGAACGTTGGAACGCTTGGTTGCCCCTGGTCTGCAGGCTGATAGATGTTTAACTATCGGACCATGTTGATACGATTCACTGGAAGTAGCTACGAATAGATCCTTTTCAGTGAAATCTATGTATTTGGACTTAATTGATTCCGGACCATTGTCAAGGTCATTGCATATATGGAAGATTAAAGTTCCGCTTCGAATTAAAATCTCCATGTGGTTTGTACACAGAAGAGCCATACTGACAAAAAATAACTTGGTGAAAAGAAGTTGGGTTGGTAATTCCAGATGTTGTTATTGTGATCAAAAGGAAACGATTAAACACCTCTTTCTCCAGTGTCCACTCGCAAAATTATTATGGCGCTCAATACATAGTAGCTTTTAACGTTCATCCCCCAATGAGCATAAACACGTTATTTGGGATGTGGCTTTATGGAGTGGACGCACATATAGCGAAACATTTTAGGATAGGTATATGTGCACTATTTTGGGCTATATGGAACACTAGAAATGATTTGATTTTTAATGGGGCAAACTTCACTAATTTTCTGCAGGTTATCTACAGAGCTACAAGTTGATTCCGTACGTGGTCGTTACTCACTCGTGCGGACTCCAGGGACTTTTTGGTTATTGGGTGCAACATTGGAGACGGTAGCACGGACCATCTTCAAACGATTTGAATGTCGAACTAATAATAGGCTAGGTGTATAGGTATCGTAGCATGTTCTTTATCGTCGGATGTGGCATCTTTTTTATATGTTCTCTTATTTGCGTTCAGGTTGTGAGCTATTTATGAATCTAAGACCTTGTTACCCTACTTTTTAATAACATGGTTGCATGCATCGATTGATGCAGAGGCTGAAGACTTCCCTCTTTTCAAAAGAAAAAGTACAAAAAGTCTTTAAAAAATTCTCATCCTATGAATCAAACAACCAAAAATTACTAAGGATCAATTTCCTATAAAAATCCTTTGAATCAAAGGAGCCCTTAAACTCCATGAAATCAGTTTTGCTATGTTATATGTTTGCAATGGTGTGTGTTTGTGTGCCTCACTGTTTGACATTTCTCGTGAAATAGGAAGTCTTAGAGCAACTTCAATGGGGCGACCCATTTCGTCCATCCTCGTCTGGCGCGGACAAAAATGAAGGCCCAACACACCGACCTAAACTTAAATTGTGCCCGCCTGACGTCCGCGCCGACCCATTTTCGGCCTAAAATTGCGCCTGGAATGCGTTCATACGGACGCGAAGCGGACGCGCCGCGCGTCTCCTCGTCGTCCGCCGCGTCCCCACCTGTAGGCCACCCAACCGTCACCGGTCGTCTTATTTATGATGACCATCGACATCGGGCCCACGCGTCAGCTAGTGGAAACATCCTTTTTTAACCACGCGTGCGAGGGGGGGGCAGCCTCATCCACTTCTCCCGTCCACATCTGCCCCCCCACCACTTCCTTTGCTTCCTCGTCGGCGACCGCAAACCCTAGCGCGCCCATGGGCCTCTTCGGCAGCAGCAATGGCAAGGGCACCCCCGACGCCTCGTCCTCCCGTACTCCCCCTCCCCCTCCTCCTCCGTCGGCGTCGTGTTTCCGCCCTGGTCACCGGCGCCTGCACATCCCGGTGCACCAAGCGCGGTGACACTGGGAGTACAGGTAGCCACTGCCATACCCCGATGTCACGCTTCCGCACCATTGGCATCTGGATCCGTAGCGGATCCCGGTGCCGGCGGTTCCGCGGTACCAGCGGGCGCACGACGACGAGGTGCGCAGGCGCCGCGCGCAGCTCACGCCGGAGCAGCGTCGGCTGCCAGAGTACGCCGCCGACTCCTCCAACTGGGAGGCATGGTTCGCCCTCGAACACGAGGAGCAATGACGCTCGGATGTCGACGCCGTCCCGTCACCGTTCCCACTGCCGCCCCCGCAGGTAGAGCTGGAGGACATGGAGGCGGAGGCGGAGTACCAAGCCGTTCTCGAAGAGGCCCTGCAGCACGCGCTGGAGGCTATCCGCCTCGAGGAGGACGCGCATTGGGATGGGCTGGAGCAAGCCCTTGCACTATCGACGGCGGGGGCTCCGCCCACACCCCGCTCTTCGTGCCGCCACCGTCACCGCCCGTCCAGCCCAAGCCGGAGCCGGAGCCGGAGCCAACACGGAAGCACTCCCCGCCTCCACCCACTTGGCTGGAGGAGGCCTACTCGTGGACGGGTCAGTACCGCGAGTGGGTGAACGCGCCTCCCGTCCACTTCACCGCGACGCCAGAGCAAGAGACGGCCCACCTCGAGCGCTGGAAGAAGCACTGGCTCCGCCAGGAGCATGCCGACGGCGAGGAGCACATGCGCTACGAGGCCATGCTCCAACATGACGGGGAGGCGCTCCGGCTCAAGGAGGAGGAGGAGGAGCACGCGCGGCTGGCCGCAATGCCGCCGCCCCAACAGACGCCGGAGGAGGCTGCCCTGACAGCGTACCAGGCGGTGTTCGGGTGGGCTGACCCTGCTCCGGTCTTCATCGACCTCACCGACGACGGTGGCATCGACGACAAGGGTAAGGGCAAGGCCGACGACGTCTAGAGCGGTGTGCGGGACGGCAGCAGGCGGGCGCAGACTTTTTAATATTTTATTTAATGTTTAATTTAGGGATGGCAATGGGTAGGGTATGGGCGGGTATAACCTCCTTCTGCCCAAACCCATACCCACAGAAACTTTCTATACCCACCCACTTCAATACCCATGGGCATAAATTGACACCCATGCCCATACCCATCGGGTATCCTATACCCAATGGATATCCAGTGAATATAATGTGTAACATTTAAATTTTAAAAAGGTGGACAAATGTGTTTAAAAATTAAGTGATGATGGTTGAGCAGTATATCACTGTCACGGCCTCCTCATGTGGGTGGCCCCTTGGGAGCATAAGGGAGTATGAGCGGCAGTTGGTGGAAGCCGACATAGTGGCAGGCGGTGGTGGGAATTGGGGATCACTTGATCGAGAGTTGGACGACAGTCCAATAGACAAGATTTGCTATTTCATCTTTTTGAAGGGATTTAGAGTTGGGCCATAGAAGTTGGATGTTGACCAACATGACATAGGAGTTATTTTCATTTATTAGTTTTTTATGGGTATCCATTGGGTTATTCATGGGCACAAGTTCATACCCATGCCCTATCCATATATTTTGCGGGTATGGATACCCATTACTCATGGGTATAAAATCTCTCCAAGTCTTGCCCATGTCTATTGTTTTCAGGTAAAGTACCCGCGGGTACCCATGTCCATGGGTAAAACTGCCATCCCTAGTTTAATTAGATCTACGTGGACTTTGGCCGGCGTTTAACCGACCACTTATGTTTAATTATGTTATTATGTTTATTTCATACAATTTATTTATTTATTTTCACGCCTGTATATTTGAGTCGGCCTTCCGTTGGACCGTCAAGTCTACCCATTTTAAAATACGGACGCACACGTCCACTTAACCGATTCAAACAGACAAAATGGGTATAAAGTGCGCGTGCGTTTGGGTCGTCCTGCTCTTAGTGACAGGAAACCCGCACAATCGTAGAACAATTTAGCAACATCAGTATTTCCATTTATTTTAACAAGACTCAACATCAGTATTGCACGGAAAACTCCACAAACGCTGTCGCTGTCACTGATCATTTCCCACCCAGTTCCACAGTCCACACCACTCTTGCGTTGCCGGCTCGTCCTGACCTCCTCCACCCTCCCAACCCCCACCCTCGCGTCACACATTTCGCACTATAAACTTGCGATCCCGGCCTCATTTACGCCACAACACACTGCACCGGCCGTGCGCGTCGCTCGTCACCCATGGCCAAGCGCCTCTTCCACTCTTGCCGCTCCCCGTCCGCCGCCGCCGTGGTCACCCCCGCCACCAACCTCCTCGCCAAGCACCACTCGCCGGCCTTCACGCCCCCCGCCGGCGGATGCTGTCCGCGCGGCCTCACTCACCGGCGGCCGCTGCCACCGGAGACCTGCGGCGCCATGCGCTGCGCTGCCGACTACACTGCCGACGACCTCCCTCCGGCCCGCGGAACGCCCGCCTACCGCTGGCTGAAGAGCTCCCACTGGCACGTCATCGAGGCCGCCACCGACGGCGACGACACGCCCCGCCTCAAGATCGACGCGCGGCGCCGGCTGCGGCGCTCCCGGCGCCGCCGCCGGCTCCACCGCAAGGCGGCCATAGAGAGCCTGTCGTCCGGCGACAGCGGGTGGTTCAGCAGCAGCGAGGAGCCGAGCGCGTACAGCAGCCGCAGCGTCGAGGCGGAGGCGACGCTGGTCACGTCCACCGCGACGGAGACCTCGTCGGGCGTGAGCGGGAGCTCCGGCGCCGTGGCGGCGACCGCTGAGGCGCGAGCGGAGGCGGTGGTGGCCGGGAGCTTCGCGGTGGTGAAGCGCTCGGACGACCCCCGGGCGGACTTCCGGCGGTCCATGGCGGAGATGGTGGTGGGCCGCGGCATCTACGACGCCGACGGGCTGGAGCGCCTGCTGCGGTGCTTCCTGGCGCTGAACGACCAGCGCCACCGCCGCGACATCGTCGACGCCTTCGGCGACGTGTGGGAGGCCGTGTTCGCCAGCCCGCTGCCGCACGGCGCCGTCACGTCCGCGCCTGCCGCGAGCTGCCGCGCGGCCGCCGCAGGGGCGCCTCGTCAGTAGGAGTGCAGAGCACGCATGGCCACCCTGTAAAATGTGATTATGTGTGGTACATGTGGTAGACTAGACGTACGTACGTATGTAAATTACTAGTACTCTATGTTCTTTCTTCTTTGGGTTTGCGGCCGTGGCCGCCTTCCTCCCGGTTGCTTGCATGCCACTTCATCTTTGCAGTGTGGAAATGGGCGCGCGACTACTCGGATGGGATTGGACGTGAACAGGGAGCGTCTCTCTGCACACATGCCTATTTCTCGATCTCAGCTCTCAGCTCTCAGCTCTCAGCTCATCTCCGAATTCTGTAAGAATATAAGTTGCTCTGGTGAATCATATTTTACTACATCCTGCAAATTGGGTTTTCCAGTTTCATGTTGGAAAAGAAAATGCTCACTATCTAACTATGCTTCTTGCTCTTCTATTTTTGTTTAGTTTTTTTCATCATATAACTCATTTTGTCTTTACCGAAAGAAAAACGGAACTCATTTTGTGTGGCATGGAAAGGTGTGGCGCAGTAGTACCACCACACGACTCAGGGGCGAATCTACTAGAGGGCTTGCAAGAATTTTTTTTACTACTAGTTTCATGGCTCAATTCAACCACTTGCAAGCCCAACCCAACAGATATTGGTATGATACAGGCTTTTGAGCCCACCCTCCAATTTCTGTCTAGATTCGTCACTGACACGACTCGAGGAAATAGACCTAGTACTCGTTGGATTGTTTGTCTCTTCATTTATTAGCGATTTTGCAGCCATGATCGGGGACAGCGATAAGCCATTTGACCCAAAGTGTGATGTGATGTTGCACCCCTAAGATTAGATGGAAGTGGACAAACAAAGAGGCCAATCCCCAAAGTGGTTTCAAATAGTTTCGGCCCGGTATGGGCTCGTTTGGTTCAAAGGAATTCTATAGGATTTTCAAAGGATTAGCAATTTTTTCTACATTGCTCTTTGATTTATAACATTGGATTTCATTAGGATTTTTTCTACGAAACCTTTTACTGCATTTCATAGGAAATCTAACCTTCATTTCAAATTTTTTTATAATTTCTTTGTTTTTCTGTGGCATCAAACACTTCTTGCTAATCCTATAAAATTCAAGTGGGCATGCCACTTCAATCCTATACTTTTTTCATCTTTGGGTTTTCATTATCCTGCGAATCAAAAAGGCACAATATATTTAGGCATACTGAGTACTACTTCTTCTGTTTTTAAATATAAGTTTTTTTAAAGATTCCACTATAAAAACTACATTAGAATGTATATAGACATCTTTTAGATTATAAGTTCACTCATTTTACTCCGTAGGTAGTGAAGTTTCTTAAAAGACTTATATTTAAGAACGAAGGGAGTACTAGCTATTCTTGGCGCTTTGCTAAACTGATGATAGATTATGCATGCTTGACGACTAAGTCTGTACCACACTGCATGGACATTATCCAGATCCGGAGATCATTCAATCTCCCGAAGAAGTCTGTAGTAGAAAGAAAGCAAACAGTTGATGTGATATGATTTGATGCGACCTACATTTACAGAGACTGGTCTGCACTGCACCTTGCGCATAGAGTTTGAAGATCTCAAAGCGCCTTTATTCACGCTTCCCTTGACCTAGAGCTCTGTGTTCCCCGTCGTGTTTGAGTAGCCTCATCTTTGCATGTCTGTATAAGAATTAAAAAGTCACCCCAGGGTCTTTTGCTGATCTTTCCTCCGGGCAGCTCCTCTGATCCATAGGATGGGATCCGCGGGAGTAGACATGAAAGATTTCAGGACCTCTTTGGTCCACTGGACTTCTAAAACACAGGAATAGTAGAGACAATGAGCCCCTCTTTGATCCAAAGGGTTAAAAAAAAAAGGAGGATACTAATCCTTAGGATTTTTTTCCCTACATATGTTGTTTGATTTATAGGATTACAATCCATAGGATTCACTTGTACGAGTAGTTTTCATAGGAAAATTTCCATCCACTCTAATCTTATGTGAAGAATTCTATGTTTTTCCTGCACACAATCAAACATTCATACTAATCATGTAGAGTAGGACTGAAGATGACATGCCATTTCATTTCTGTATTTTTTTTCCCGTTCTTGTGTTCTACAAATCCTGTGAATCAAGGAGGCCCTCTGAATTGAAGTGACATGCCATGCTACTGGATTAATATGAGGTGCCATCTGGATTCAACGGATTTGTTACCCTAGATACATCTGTTTGAGCGACAAATAATATTGATTCGACGGAGTAAAAAAATTCAAAGGATTCTAATCATTAGGATTTTCATTTTGTTTGATTCATACGAATATATTTCATAGAATTTTTTTCTTAGGATTTCCATCCACTTGTACATCATGTGAAGAATCCTACACTTCTTAGCACAATCAAACCCTCATAGTAAAAATAAATTTTGTACTATGAAAACTAGTACAAATAAATCCTAAGGAAAATTTTCTACGAAATAGAGTCCTACGAATCAAACAACCCACATAGAAAACGAAATACTAAGGGTTAGAATCCTTCGAAATTTCTTAACAAATCCTTTGAATCCAAAATTTTCCTATAAGTATTTTGGAATAGAGGAAGTATAAGTTTTGAAACCTACATCAATTAACATAGAAGGTATTTAATACAACAGATTAAAACCACATAAATTGTACAAAGAAATTTTAAGTGGATGGAAACTTGGCGCCAAAACATAGTACGAAGAATTTCTTAGGATCTCCCCCAAGGATGACGATTCTGCAAATCAAACAACCATTATTCCATTCCCTCCCCATTCAGCAATGTGTCACCCCAAGCCAACACACGAGGGAAGGGCACATTCAAAAACACCATGTCCTCCCAGGTGGCTAGTGATGCTGAGAAGCCAAATCAATGCACCGGCACTTGCTCCACTCGGAGATGACCCTGTTGTACGAGACGATGCTGAAGGATGGCAACCGGCCGTTTGAAGGGTAGATGATGTCGTCGAATGTATGCAGCTCAAGGATGATCAAACTGGGAGGAGGAACGCTGGCTCGTAGCTGAGAGACATCAATGACTAGATGGATTTTAGCGTGCTCGGCAACCAACTTGTATGCCACCTGACCCACCCATTATATAGAACCCATCTTATAGTGAAAGTTCCGATTTGTGGTTTGCATGCGGGGTGAGGCTAAATTTCGTGTTTTGACCCTTTTCTGAAACCTATTCGAGATTTGACCCTAGTTTGAATTTTTTTCAAGATCTGACCCTTTTGCTACTGCGAGTGACCATGGCGGTAGGGTAGGGTTGCATGCCCTACCACCAAAAACCTCTTAAATATTGAACACAGTGCATGCTCGTGCCTACCGCTAAGCACTTTGGCGGTAGGGTTATGCACGCTACGACCAGCCCGGTTGGCGGTAGCGATATTTCCTACCGCCAAAGTCCCTGGCGGTAGGCTGTTAGACCCTACCGCCATGGACTCTGGCGGTAGCAAAAGGGTCAGGTCTCGATTTTTTTTCAAACTAGGGTCAAATCTTGAATAGGTTTCAGAAAACGGTCAAAACACGAAAATTTGCCGCGGGGTGATATGAGATGATGAGTAGGAATGCCACCAACTGCAAAAACCTTCTGGCTCCGTCCTCATTCCTACAAACCCTCATAATCATAATTCACAACTTCCTCACTCTCGTCCTCAATAATCATGTTATGCATGATCACACATGATGTCATGATCATCGAGAGCATATTCCGTTTCTAGAATCTAGTTGGTCCATGCGTAGTAGCAAAAGGGGATTGTGACACCTTAAATGTCCGCTCACATCCTCCTAACAATCGCTTGAGAATTTGCGTTGTGAATTCTCGAGGTGTTTGATATAGCCTTGAATGTGGCCGTTGTCGAATATATCCCACATGCTAGGTATTTTAGCACTGTGAACTTGTGATGATTAGCTTCAAACTCCACCGATAGTGCCTCTTCACAGGCTAACCTAGAGAAGAGACGCGAGCGTTCACAACACATATGTCGTCGCAAGGACCATACATCCCAAAGTAGGCATGCCAAATCAATACTTCCTAGTGAGGAACGATTTCAAGGATCCTTGAATCATGGACATGGCCACTGAATTGCCTACATCATGTCGCAAGGCAATTCTCCGGTTTCCATAGCATACAACCTATGGATCCAAGCATCCCTAGGAACGCTCTAGCTTTATTCATTGCCAGAAGCCTCCAAGTGACTCATGTACCAGGGGCCCTCACGTACCCTTGTCCAAATATCACAGTCACTGCTTCACAGAGCGCTTCATGCTTTGGATGGTTGTATTCTCCCCATTTTGTAGGTACCGATCAATGTAATCTGCAAGTACACCATATGTGATCGTGCAGAATGTTGATGTGATCTTCTAATAAGGATTGTGACTAAGAGTTCGATTACAATTTTTTTGCTGCTTGAAGTATCAAACTTGGCTCTCAGCAACATACATAACGCGTCTAAGCAAATTAGGTTAAATTTAGAACCAACATCCGGCGTGTTCAAGTGGATTAACAGGGTTTGGATCAAATAATGTGCGATAAGTG